CAAAGAGACTGACAGCATTTTGCCCCTGCTCTAGAGATCTATGAAACTTTGAACTTGAGAGAGATGATTTAGAGTATTTGTCAGAAGAAATTTCTAAGAAGCAAAGCATTGAAGATGTAACCTGGCTTTTTCTAAAAGTGTATGCTCATATATGTGAAGAAAAAGATGGTCTGAAATCAAAACTTATGTTTAAAAGAGAGAACATACAATTTTGGAAAATTTGCAGCCTGACCATGGAGTAGAAAATAATATCCCATTAGCTGGGGAGGAATTCAAGCCTGCTGCATAAATTTGCATAAGTAAAGAGGAGCAGATGTTAATAGCCAAGACAATGGTGAAAATGTCTCCAGGGCATTTCAGAGATCTTCACAGCAGCCCCTCTCATCACAAGCCCAGAGGCCTAGAGGGGAAAAATGTTCCATGTGGCCTTGGGACATGGCCCCCTGTGTCCCAGCACCTCCAACTCTAGCCATGGGTAAAAGGGGTTGAGGTGTATCTTGGGCCATTGCTTCAGAGGGTGCAAGCCCCAAGTCTTAGTGGCTTCTACATGGTGTTGAGCCTGTTGGTGTGCAGAAGGCAAGAATTTGGGAGCCTCTGCCTAAATTTCAGAGGATGTATGGAAAACACCTGGATGCCTAGGCAAAAGTCTGCTGCAGGGGTAGAGCCCTCATGGAGAACTTCTACTGGGGCAGTGCAAGGGAGAAATATGGGGTTGGGGCTTCTACGCAGAGTTCCCACTGGGACACTGCCTAGTGGAGCTATGAGAAGAGGGCCACCATCCTCCAGACACCAGCGTGGTAGATCCACCAACAGATTGTACCGTGCATCTGGAAAAGCCACAGGCATTCAACCAGCCCATGAAAGTAGCCCAGGAGCTGTACCCTGAAGAGCCACAGGGGAGGAGCTGCCCAAGGCCTTGGGGGCCCACCCTTTGCATCAGCATTCCCTGGATATGAGACTTGGAGTCAAAAGATATTATTTTGGAGCTTTAAGATTTAATGACTGCCCTTATGGATTTTGGACTTATATTTGTCCTGGAGCCCCTTAGTTTTTGCCAATTTATCCCTGTTGGAATAAAAGCATTTCCCTCATGCCTGTTCCTCCATTGTCTTGGAAATAACTAACTTATTTTTAATTTACAGGCTTATAGGCAGAAGGGACTGGCCTTGTCTATAATGAGATATTGAACATGGACTTTTGAGTTAATGCTAGAATGAGTTGACTTTGGGGGACTATGGGGAAAGCATGATTTGTCTCAAAATGTGAAAAGGATATGTGATATGGGGGGAACCAGAGGTAGAGTTATATGGTTTAATTATTTGTCGTCACTCAAATCTCATCTCAAATTGCAATCCCCATGTGTTGAAAGAGGAGCTCGGTGGAAGGTGATTGAATCATGGAGGTGGACTTCCCCGTTCCCCCTGTTCTCATGATAGTGAGTGAATTCTCAGATATCTGGATGTTTGATAAGTATGTGGCACTTTACCCTTCTCTCTGTCTTTCTCTTGCTGTGACATGTGATGACACACACACTTTCCTTTCACCTTCTGCCATGATTATAAGTTTCCTGAGGGCTTCCAGCCATGTGAAACTGTGAGTTAATTAAACCACTTTTCTTCATAAATTACCCAGTCTCACGTAGTTCCTTATAGCAGTGTGAGAATGGACTAATACAAATAGCATTTGTCACATAGTGTCACTAATTTATCATTATCCTAAAATCGTATGAAATATGAAAAACATGTTTTAAAGCTTGCAATACTGTATAATATATATTATGATTATGCTTATCAAATTAATTTAATAATTTATTGTAGAACACTGTTTCATGATGCACTTTTTAGTAACTGATATGGTTTGGCTCTGTGTCTCCACCCACACCTCACCTTTAATTGTAATAATCCCATGTCTAAGGAGGGATCAGGTGGAGATAAATTAATCATGGAGGAGGTTTCCCCTATACAGTTCTCATGATAGTATGTTCTCATAAGACCTGATGATTTTAGAAGGAGTTTCCCACTTCACTCAGCCTTCAGTCTCTCTCCTGCCACCCTGTGAAAAGGTGACTTCCATTATGATTGTAAGTTTCCTAAGGCCTCCCCAGCCATGTGGAACTGTGGGTCAATTAAACCTCTTTTTTTTCTTTTTGAAATGGAGTCTTGCTCTGTTGCCCAGGCTGAAGTACAGTGGTGCGATCTCGGTTCACTGCAACTTCCACCTCCTAGGTTCAAGTGATTCTCCTGCCTCAGGCTCCTGAATAGCTGGTATTACAGGCACCCACCATCATTCCTTGCTAATTTTTGTATTTTTAGTAGAGACAAGGTTTCACCATGTTAGCCAGGATGGTCTCAATCTCTTGACCTTATGATCCGCCCACCTTGACCTCCAAATAAACCTCTTCTTTATGAATTACCCAGTCTCGGATATTTCTTCATAGCAGAATGAGAGTGGACTAGTATTACAACTGCTCTAAGATGTCTTTTATGAAATCATGCAAATAATTATTTGCATGTTCTTTTTATGTAAATTATTCATTATCTTTTCAAAAGAATTGAGAATTCTTTCACATAAAGTTATATATGTGTGTGTAGCTGAATAAAATAAATGAAAAAGTAGTAATAGCAGAAATTTACTAAAGACTGATGGGTGTCTAGTATTGTTCCTTGAAAAGCATTCAATCTAAAGCATTTTATACTCTTTTATGTCAGAAAAAGTTAGGAATATCTAGTAAAAAATCAAGAAATGAAAGCATCTATCCTGTGAAGTACAATGAACATAACAAAAAGGATAAAAAATAGAGATGAGATAGAAAATAGGAAAAAATTAGTTTTCAATGAAACAACGCCTAAATTCAGAAAACAGAAATTAGCCATCACTTAAAAGAAAAAATAAAGCAAAATCTGGGCCAAACAGGGAGAAACTGTAATGGATCTTTGTCTATAATTATGTATCTATATCTACTTAATATATCTATCTGTATACATTCATTTTTTTCCCTTTATAAGAGGGTAGATGGATGTATTGAGAGAGATATGATAGAGACAGAGATAGATAGAGATAGAGATAGAGATAGAGATAGAGATGGAGATAGAGATAGAGATAGAGATAGAGGAATTAGAGGGCTTAGAGTTAGAGCTAGAGATAGAGGTAGAGCTAGAGCTAGGGATAGAGATAGAGATAACAGGTTAGGGACAGAGATAGATAGAGTTCAGATAGAGATAGATATAGAGATAGAGATAGACACAGAGATAGAGATAGACATAGAGATAGAGATAGATATATCACTTCAAAACTAGAGGATAAAGACTTCTATATAGGTAGTTTTAATAGTTCTCAAGGACTACCTTTTAGTTGCAGATATCTAGAGAGTAGGACCACACCTGGGAAGCATTGTTAAACCATCATTTGAGAAACCCACTTGCAGAGGTTAAAAAGGCAGGAAAGGGATCTGTGTCTGGGATCCCTAAGATAACGCTGAGGCTCAATACTTTGCTAGAACTCACAGGGGTCAAAAAAGCTGTCATACTCAAACTTGCAATTTATTATAGTTTATTGTTACAGATTAAAATTAGTGAAAGAAAACAGAGCATTGTGTGAATAAAGTCCAGGAGAAACCAGGCTCATGCTTCCAGGTGTCCCCTTCCAGTGGAGTTGCAAGGGAACACGTTCCTCAACACCATTTGATCAATAGTATCAGCAGTAACATATCTTATTTACATAGACAGTTGAATCTTATCAACAATGCCAGTAGTATACCATATTGTAGTATGATCATAGTACAATTTAATTTTATTATAGAACAAATCAGTAAGGATCATATACATTTTTTCCTATGCTTTCCCACAGAATTGACCTTTGTCCAAATACCATACATTTTTTGAGTAGTAGTTATTACAATTGACCATGATTTGGTTATTTCTAGATTTCAAGTCAGTTGGGGATAAAGCCACCCTCCCAGTCTTCGTTCAAAGGCTTGTGCTGAAACTGGTTTCCATTGTGCACTGCTATATAGCAGGGCCCATCTCCCACTTATGAGAGAACTGTTCAGAACAGTTGTTATTCCTGTTAACTATATTATAGTTACAGAATATGTCTTATTTTGACCTATTCTCCAGGCAATGACAATCATAGTGCATTAATGTGAATAACAAGTGTCTTCATAGAACTTCCATGAATTTGGAGATGCATGATTCCTAAAAAATACGACCTTTGACTCTCCGCAGCTAAGATGAAGAGCCATTGCCCATGGATTTCTTGGTATTACAGTAGTCAAGAAGCCCTGCTTAGGGGCTTAGGGTACAAGCTCTTTCTCAAAGGTATAACCTAGCATTATCCATCAGTATTGGTTGAATCAGCCTGATCCACTTCACTGAAGTCCCATCATCTTTCCAGGCCAATTCCCATCTTTGTGCCTTGCCTTCCTTCTAGAAGATAATTTAGTCTAATCAGCTATTTCCAGTTAATAAATATTTTTATTCCCTCTGAATGTCATTTCTCATTAAAAGCAAAATGAGCTTGTGCCACAATACCTAGACCAGTATTTATTTTCCCTGAAACCCTTTTCTGTCTTGTGGGATAATGTTTAATTCACCATGAGTACTGTTGCCATTTTGTGCTAGTGGCCTGAATGCAGTTAAAATATATATTTTGTATCCAAAAATGTTGGGTTCCACATAATAGAGTTAAATAAGTCACACCTACATTTAATATAGTCTGAGTATGCTATACTACTCTACACAGCCTTTTACCTCTCAGGCTAGGGATATTCTCCAGGAAAATTTGAATTCACTATGTGATACCTATTGCTTTATTCCCATGAGAAATTCATTGTCTTTTTTTCTATTCTGTTTAAGACTAAAAATAAGAGTGATGTATATGTGTGCATAGCACATTGTGACATGTTGGGAATGCCACTGCTATATTTCGTTCATTATAAACAGGGACGTTTCTAAGCATTTGGTCATTGAGGTTTATAGTTACACAGTAATCAGTCTGATGAGAGCTGTGCACTTCATGATTCAACAGACCAGTAGAGAGTAGTTCCTGGAAATTTCTTCCCAAATGATGTCTTTTTTAGTAGATACAACCTGAAAAGTAAGAGAGAAAAGATACTAGGACATTTCTAGAGTTACACTCAGTTATTAATAATTGGCCCAACTCATCATCATATTATGTGACAAAAGTATCTCAGAGTTAAAGGTAAATCAGGTTTATAGGCTTCCGTTTTACTTTGTCAGGTTGCAAAAGCAGGATTGTTCTTAGTAAACATATGACTTCATCCTTTGGGTTATATGGTATAATTGTATTAAAAGATAACATCATTCTTTTATTCTGACTCTCTCTTGATGCATCGGTCTCCCTTGTTTTATAACTGATATATTTATTCCTTTACCCTCAGCTATTATCTCTGTTTTTCACAACTTGTCATTGATTTTGACTCCACATTTCCCAGATTTGGAAAGGATATTATGGTAAGTCACTAAGCTGGTTCAGAATGCTGGCAGCAATACCAGTCTACCCAAAGTTTGTTCTACAATATATTCCCATTCATGTAGAGTTGTGTTATACAGACATAAAACTAGTGGTCTATCCCAACCACCAGGCAATACAGCAGCATTCACTATTCACTGTCAACCTAAATTTTGCCAAACAGATGAAGGCATATTCCATACAACCAGGCTCTTTGTAATTCTGGTACAAAGAATTAAAATGATGTGTTACTTATTTAGAAATTATCCCTACTTCTGATACCCACAGCTATAAACCTGGTCCTAAGCCTATGGCATCATATTGGAAAAAAATAAGATGATGTAAGGAAGAACTGTATATTTATACCTGTATTATCTCTTATCCCCTGTGTACTATTCAGATTACTCCAAAGAAACAGAACCAATAGGATACACACACACACACACACACACGGGTATACATATACATGTATAGATATTTATATGTGCATGCACACACATATATACCTTTTTTTATGAAAATAGAGATTTATAAGTACAAAATTGGTTCATGTGATTGTGAACACTGGCAAGTTCAAAATCTGTCAGGGCGGGCAGCAGGATGGAGGCCCAGGGAAGAGATTCAGTTTGAGCTTGAACTGAAGGTCATCTGCTGGCAGAATCCCCTCTTCCTAGGGGAAGGTCAGTCTTTTTTTTTTAAATAACGCATTCAATGAATTGGATGAGGCCCACTCACATTATGGAGCTCAATCTACTTTACTTACTGTCTACCGATTTGAATGTCAATCTCATCCAAAAAAATATTTTCACAAAAATGTATAGAATAATGTTTGACAAAATATCTGCTGCTATGGTCAGAATACTTGTGTTTCCCCTAAATTTATATGTCAAAACCTTAACCTCCAAGGTGATGATATTAGAAGGTAGGGTCTTTGGGGAGGTTATTAGGTTATGAAGATAGAGGCCTCAACAGTGGGATTAGTGCCTTTATAAAATAAGCCCAGGGGAGCTCATTTGCTCCTTCTGCTATGTGATGACACAGCGAAAAGGCACTCTCTATGAATCAGGAAATGATCCTCCACCAGACACTGAGTCTGCTGGTGCCTTGATCTTCGACTTTCCAACCCCCAGAACTGTGAGAAAAACATTTCTGTTGTGTGTAAGCTACCTAGTCTACGGTATTTTGTTATAGGAACCTGAACAGATTAAGATGTGGGTGCTATGGCCTAGCCAAGCTGACACATACATTTGGCTATTACACTTTCTTAGCCAGTTACCTCCCCAGCAAAAGCAGAGGGATCTGTCTAGAGAGAAACTCCCCCTGGTGCCCCTCACACTCATGAACGTGTGTAAGCCAGTCCTTCATTCTTTTATCTTCCCCCATTTTACACGAAACATGTTACTGTGAGGCTGATATGAATCACGATATGTCCATTTAATGTAATGTCTTTTTGCTCATTGTTAGACACTATGAGCTGTTAAATGGGTTCCTTGGTTTGAAGAAATGTAACTCAGCAGTTCAAGACTTCAGACATGCAAAAACAGTCATATCAGGCAAAATATATCAAAAATTCTGATATTTGTCCTGGAGATTGTCCAAGGGACAACACTGAAGGCAAACATTTATTTGGAATGTGCAAAGTTTGAGCAACCAAGACCTGCTGAGTTAGCACTTCCCTTCTTGAGAATTTAATAGATAATATACTCTTTTTTATATAGCATGCTTTTTCCTGGTAGGAAACTCTGATGTGAGGCAGATAAAGGAAGAAGAGTAAAGAGGTAATAGCTGGATTATCTGATTGAGTCTTTTTGCCTTAATGAGCTTCATTGTACAGTACACAAATCATGTTCTCACCAGAAAGAAACAATAAAATCTGTTTTAATGTAATTTTAACATAGTTCATTCAATTGCAGATACATAGTTTAATTTGCAATAATGACTGTGTTTAAAAACCAGCTCACATAATTACTAAAAATCTAACCATTAGTTCTCCCTAGACAATACAAGCTACCACCAGAATAGCACTGCTTTTATTTTATGTAATTATTCTATTTTACTTTTTCACTCCTCTCCTGAGTACTGCAAAGACGCTCTTAGTAATCTTTTCAGTATTTTCATCTTTTGTTGGGGTCATTTTTTTCACAAAGAACTTTATTATGTTCAAATGCCTATGATTTCATTGAATTGCTTCCTTTCTGGAATATTTTATTAATTTGCTTTGTTTAGACTAACTTCTATGTGAAATTGTAAAATATGATAAAATTGGCATTTCATTCATAGCACAGGGATTTTTTTTATGGTATATTACTTTGTACTTCTTGAATTTTAAAACATATAAACAAATAAACTCTTAAAAGGTGATTTTCAACAAATTTTTATATCATTGACTCATTTTTATAACCATCTATTTATAGCGATATGTCTCAAATTCTTTTTATTTTATAAACATTTATTAAGTTCTTCTCATGTGCCAGTTCCTACTCTAGAGGATGAGGATTCAGCATATGCGAACTTTTAAAACTCTATGTTCTCATGTTGAGACAAATAATAAACAAAAAGAAAAAAAATAAGGAAACCATATAGTGTGCCTAGTAGTGATTGCTACAAGGAAAAACAAAGTAGAAAAAAATTATAGAAAATATTAGTACAATTGATCCTCATTATTTGCAGATTCTGTGTTTAAAAACATAGCCAACTCCCTAAAATTTATTTGTAACTCCAAAATCAATAAAGTGTGTTCTTGGTCATTCACGGCAGGTGCAGAGCAGCAAAAAATCTTGGGTCATCTGACAAACAGACTTTCCCAGACAAAGTCAAATAAGGCACTGCACACAAATGTCTTTTCACAATCTATTTTGTGCCATGATTTTTACTTTGTTATGCTTTTTTTGGCAGTGATTTCACTATTAAAAATGGTCCCAGCAATAGTGCTGATGTGCTGTCTGGTGTTTCTAAGCACAAGTAGACTGAGATGTGCCTCACAGAAAACATGGCTTGTAATACTGCTGGCTGTGAGTTCAGGGTGAATGATCTATATTATACATTAGATGAGTTTTCTTTTAACAGAAACACACATAAAACAAAATTATGTATTGATCAGATGATGAAAATCTTATGACTAGAAATTTGCAGGAACCTAACCCTCTCCTCCTTTGAGGAGCAATGGTTCAGTGTTCTTGGTGATTCAGTTTCACAGTGACTTTATAAACATAAGGATTGCAAATAATGAGTATTAACTTCAGTACAATTGCCCATACATTCTGAAAGTGTTTTAATGTTAAAATCAATAAAATGTGTGAAGAAACAGAATCTAAGTGTGAACAAAAGAAAAGTGTAAACTCTTTAGGTAGGAGACTCTGGAAGGATGGACTCGTCCTGCTCTGAGGTGGGAAAGTTTGTGAAATAACAGGCTTATGGACAGATCATAAGTTAGTATTAAGACATTAACTTTATAGATGCATATTAAATATACAAGTGTAAATGTTGTATAGCTACTTAAAGATATAAATCTGTTGTTTGGTTTATGAGATTACATAAATTCATTAAGGATGTGAATTAGAAACATCCAGAGACACAATTCTGAAGCCTTATAATATTTAAAGATCAAGGAAATGGAAAGGAGCAGTAAAGGCACTTAAATGACATAAAGAAAAAGGAGAAGAATGAGGTTATTTGTCTGAGTAGATAAATGACCTTTTAGAGATGTAACAAAATAACTATAACAAGCCATCTACTGTCACCTAATAAAGGGCTTTGCCTGTGCAATTGCTTTCACTCTAGACACACAATTTTTCTCCTTCCTGTGGGATCTTTCACATTAGCATAAATCATGTTATATGATCTTGCTTATTCAAAAAGTATCCTTTGTCATGGCTTACAACTTTCAGATACCTTCTGAAAGAGAACTTTTATACCACTCTATTCCTCATCTCCCACTGTTTTCCAAACCTATGCCAATTCAGCTTTCATTCCTAGTACTCCACGAAAACAAATCTGATAACCTCCACTGGAAACCTCCAGGCTTCAAAATCCAATGGTTAGTTTTTAATCATTATCTTGTTGGTTTCCTAACTATACTTGAAACCATAGATCATTTTTTTTCTTGATATACTTTCTGGGCAATACACATTTCCAGTATCCTTCATTCTTAAAAAGTTGTTCAGTCTCTTTTCCTGGCCATTCTTACTGTGGACCTGTATATTCCTGTGTGCCACCCAGTTCCCTCCATAATTTCCACTTCCCTAAATACTTGGATAGCATAATCTTGTCTCATGGTTTTGAGCACCAATATATACTGATGACTCTTCAAAATATATCTTCAACAATCATTTATTTCTGAACCTCAGTGTTAAAAACTGAAATAATCCCTTTATATATGCTACTTGAATGTCAAATAGACACCTCAAGGAATATCTGTCCTAAGCTGAATTGTTTCTTTCTTCCCCCTAACCATGATCTTACCCTAATGTTTTTCAACTCAATAAATTATATTTCCATTTACAGAGTTACTCAGGGCAAAAGTCTTTAGAATTATCTTCAGTTTTTTTCTCACACTATCCTTCCACTTAAACAGCAAATGTTTTAGACTGTACTTTCAAAATAAACCCAGAATCCAACC